TACTGATTTGTTGCTCACCCACTGAGCGATAGTCGCCTAACTGCCTACTCGCCTACCCACCTACTCGCGTACTCGCCTAATCGCCCAATCGCCTGATCGCACGTACAATCGCCAACTCTGAACGCTCCATTAGAGCCTTTGTTTTGAGTACGCCAACGACCGTTGCAAACTCACAATAAATTCTACGGTCTGCACAACAGACCGTTTAGACACTGCAGGTGTTCCGCCTAATGGTGTATTCTGAGCGCTTCTCCCCAATGGACCGACAGGGGTGCCGATCTGAGGCACTGGGGATGCAATGTTCTGTGGAGTTCCTGGTCCAGGAGATGGCACCACTTGTTGGGGAACCGGTATAGGTGGCGGTGGTGCAAGTATTTTCGGGGAACTTGGTTTTGGTGGTGGCACCAGTGCAGGTGGGGGAACTGCTAACAGTGCAGGCGGAGGTTTAGGCGGAGATCGATCAGATCCAGATTTGGGCGTTCCTGCCACGGGACGGGCCAGTATGGGATTTGCGATGGGTGGTAATGGTCGAATGCCCTCGGGCAAGGGGGGTGGCTCTTGCACCGGCGTTGGCGGTGCAGGTAAAGGGGAAGTTGGCCCGGGTGGAGGAGACGGTGTAACGTTCCTCGGCAGAGGTACAGGTCCTGGCATAGGATTCGGAAGTAGTGCTTGTGGTGGAATTATAGGCGGTGGAGGCTGCCTTGTTCCTGAAACTTGACTATATAGTGAATCTTCTGAACTCTTTACCACAACTCTCAACCTACCCATTCTGACGGCAGACAAGCATTGAACTATCTCACTAAAGTTCGGTGGTAATAATATCATGGTAAGATACGTTTTCCTGCATAAACTCGCCGGCTGATAAGCCACTTTTCGAGCCATTAGGAATCATATCACTGAAGGTAGCACAAGAACCTTAGCACCACTAATTCCGAAGTGGTTTCTGCTTGTGGGATCAATGAAGGGCGATATGGGAGCTGGAGGAGGCCAGCGGTCGAGCGAGCCTGCCCTTTGAAAGAGATAGTGTGAACTTGCACATGCCAGCTTTCCACGCCTGTTAGATGATTTACCTCAAACTAGTTGATACGTACTGAGTGTGTTGCTAACTACTTTTTCGAGAGTTTGAACTGGTACTGACTCTGTGGCTTTGAAGTCCCAAAGATTCGTTGAAATTGAAAGGAGAGGTAGCAGAGCATGGATTCATTAGGCCATATTGAGAATTATGTATAAGATTATGAAGAGCGTCGTAAGGAGAGCTCGAAGCTGATGTGCATACTCGGCGTTGCAAACGGGACACAGAGTGTTGAACGTTGAATATCTAGGCCAAGAGGAGTTGTGTGCGGCGAAAATGTGAGTGCGGATGAAATTGCTTATTTCATTGTAATTTGAAATGCGATGTATAGGGAATTTCTTCCGAAGCTTCGCTCTAAAGAATTCACTTCTTTTCCTGAATATGTAGTCTTCGAGGAAGTATCGAACTCTCTTTCATACTCAGGTGAGTGGGATGTATGCGCAATTTTGATTGAAGCTGAGATTAGGCGTAGATTTGGCTTGACTTCCATTACTCATTCCCTTTGCTTGAAGCCATAGAGTCGGATTAGGGGCCACGATGATTGGCGCGTCAAAAGTCTTAGCACCGGCGCTAAGGCTTTTACCGAATGTGTGTTGACCGTGCTGCATTCTTACAATCGGGGTCCGTGACTCTTTGCATCCCCTGCGCTTTAAAAGTGCCTATCGCGTTTTCCCTGATGCTTGAGCGCTCTTTCTCCGTCGCTGACCTACTCCCCCCCAAAAAAAAAAAGATAACTTCGAGTGGTTTGCTAAGGTGCTTTGCTGCTTTTTCTCCCAGTGCGTTCCTACATTGCATTCTTGCTTCATTTCTGTAAAATATAAGATCAGTTCGTACGTTCGATTGGGATCTTAGAGTGAGTGATTGCGAGTGTATCCTAATATATAATAAGCGGCTAGCGTGTGTCTGTGTGGTCTGTGTGTGTGTGTGTGTATGTTTGAACGGAAATTCATAGCTCGAGTCACAGTAACGATAGCGCAGTGGTTCTTAAATATGTTATAGGGGGTGGGATGGGGACACAAGTGGTACGTGATAGGAACTGATAACGACTGATTAATTAGCTGATATATGTGGGTGTAGGGAAGCGAGGCATCATTGTTTTGCCGTTCATATGGGTAGGGTGAGCGTTTCTTACATACATTTCTTTAGTGTGGGGCGTCGGATCTATTGGTGGTGGTACATGTGATTGGAAGCTGATAGCAACTTGATATGGCTATTAGATAGTTGATAAGGGCGATAGGCGCGTGCACGTAACGCGTTGTAGTGTCGATTCGTTGCCTGGGCTCAATACGCCTTGACACCAGAGCAAGTAACAAGTGTTATGTGGGGTGGGACGGGGACATTGTTGGTGGGTGCCAGAAACTGATAACGATTGATAAGGGCCGATAAGGCGCGTCAGAACGCAAAAGTCGTTAGTTCCGTTACGCAGCGTTGACACTAGAGCGTTCCTACTTACAAATTGTAGTAAGTCGTAGTAGTACAAACAAAGTACGTGCACATTATTCCGATATATATGTCCAGCTTATTTAATAGAATTCGACTGCATAAATTTTAAAAAACAAGTCTTCAGCGAATGATAAGTTCCATTTCTGACTATTAAGAAAACCCAATCTCATTAAACCGCTAATCCTTTCGTGGTTCTAAATAATGACGAATGTAAATGAATGATAAGCATTAGCTCCTCACTTATGTAAATAGGCATATTTCGTTTTGATTTTGAGACTGACAGCAATCCTATTCACCGCTAAATTATCTTAATTCAAGAAAAATGCTGGATGTTTACAGAGTTGTGATCAATATACCAGTTCAGCTCAGACGTTATCACGCGTATTCTTCGATGAGCTTCAGTGAAACTGTGGAGGGTCTAACACAGTCAATAGTGAGATGGTTGATGGAGTATCTCATGCTGATATTCCATGGGTCCTCCAATTTCGCTAAAGCCTGCCGTGTGATGCGCGCGATAGCGGGGCGAAGCAAACTTGGACGGTGTATAATTATGTGGCTATACTCCTCGGCTCGGAGTATGTTGTTTTCTTTCGAGGCCTTTACTTCAATGTCCGTCCTCCAATACTGGGTCCTCACATTTTGTGTTTAGATGAGAGAATGTCTGTTATTTTGTGTTTTCGGTTGGTCTTTTTCGACCTGCTTTGTCCTGGGTATCAGAACCGGAACGAATGCATGACAGATTCGTTGGTCTTTTAGACGCCCCTACGCTGAGGGTCCGATAATTTTGAGTTGACGCGCACAAGCTATGGTTTCGCGCTATTTACCCTTCATTAAATGCGGGATGCTTTGAGGCAGCTGTTTGACTCCTTACCATTAGTCTTATTTTTGGTTCCGCCTTTCAAAGTGATGCGGAGAGAGGGGGAACCACAAATGAATAGGCTTGAATCATTCGAACCATATATTAGAAATTTATGCGTCATTAATTAATTAATAACAAGATGAATTGATTAGGAGCTGAACTCGTGACATTGCAGTGGTGGGAACACGTAGAGTATGAAAGAAAAAATGAAGGGGACAGTTTTGTGGGCAAATTACATACGTTGTTCAACCGGAATCCTACCGGGGATGACAGCCGAGCTATTCTAAGCCATAGAAGAATTACAGACGATATAACTATGATCATAAACTGTCTATATATGTTATATTAATGTAGCAATCTTGTGTATAGCGCATACTGGTAAGGTCAATATTAGTAGTACCTTGCTAAGGACCATAGAGTGGTCCTAACGGTAAATGCAAGATCATCAAAGTGTTAGAATGGAGACGTGAAGACACCGAGTGCAAGTGATCGGAATAGCTCTGTGGTGCGAAGTGATGGAAAAGTGACGTCAAAATGACGATGGCTAGAATTTCGAGAATGGCAGGAAGACGTGGCTCAACTCGTGCACGTAGTTGATGAACGATGGAATACCCTGTCGTACTGTATTTCTTCCTGAAAAGGCGAGAGTTTTTGGCTACCCGAGTAGGAGAAATGGTGAAACAAAATGGGTTACCAGGTGAAAGACCGAAGAATTCGTAGGCGTAAGTGAGGAAATCGAAGACAATCTGTAAAGTAAATGGTTACTGTAGTATTTATTACTGTATACTTCCTATCTGGAATTAGGCCAAAATGATCAGCGACAAGTTGGAGCCAGTTCCTCCCAAAGATTTCTTGGAGAAAATGCCAGATTTGCCAACCCATCGCTAGCGCCACTCCAGTGGTACAAGCAATGCGCCAGCAATTCCCAGCGACCCAGCAGCGGTTTCAGAGATAACCCAGCAATTCGCGCGACTTTGCGTTTTAGACTTCGCCACCAGAGTTCAGTCGCAAAGTCTAACACCTGCCTTGAGCGACGGGTTGCCCCATTGGTGCAGGCATGTGATTTTGGTACGAACGCAAGCATCTCCAGTACCTATTCCGAAGCATATTTCCATTCTTTAAAGGAAGAGTGCAGTAGCTCAAAAGAGAAGCGCTTGAAAATCGTTCTTACGGAGCGCTTTGTGAGTTAGATCCGCCGAAGAACTCATTAGTGAACAGAAAAGTCCGACGATTTATCAAAATTTCTCTAAAATCTCAAGGACAATATCAATCAATACGCACCTTCTGCACTGTGTGGCTTTCAACTTGGGAGAAGCATGAGGACAAGACTCCGTTGACGACCAGCGCACCATCTACCGTCATTGGTGAATAAATTCCAGCAGAAACCTGCCTTCCGATCTGAAATTTGAGCACTGCTTAGCATCGATAGGAGCATCTCTGTAAGCCTAGAGGGAGGAGAAGCCTTCAAGTCTTCCAATTATCTCAGGTCGCCAGAGTTTGTGGCAGTACGGAGTAGGTTAGCTCTAGGTTGAACTCAGGCTTGCTAACAGCAACTCGAGGATTATGTAGTTGACCCGTACAGAACGCCGTAAAATGAACCACAGAGAAGCCTGAGAAATAAAAATTCGCTAATCATCCCTTCTGTTTTAAGGCAGATTATGGCTAACTCATTTCTTAATTACACGTAAAGAAATCCTAACTAACCTTAACTATCCGCTCGGCGACTACTTCTCCACTGTTCGTTACTGACAGTACACATTCACCAACCGTCGCCTTAGTGGGCGAATGTGTGAAGTCACTCGAGCCATTTCCACCATCTGCCTTCTTCCAATCCCTAAATAGAAGATTCCGTCTGCCTGCGGTTCTTCAAAGTTATCACCAAGAATTGTAGTGTCCTCCGCCGTACGCGGATGACCAGAATTTGTGGTGACTAACCTTCTCATCGACTGGCATTCACCGAAATGGAAGCAAGTGAAGCGGAGTGAGAGCAAGTCGCTTCTTTGATGCGGTGAATAACACACCGAACTGTGCTCGTGTCTCTGGCTCCCGATGATAGAACATCTCGACGCGTTCGTATTTTCAGCACATCGCCAGCACTTCGGCACCAACACACCGAAATACACATCCGTTACGGCATTCATCCTTCAATAGCATCGTTCTGCCAGTAGCCGAAAATCGTGTCATTACTACTAGGCCCTCCAAAACGCAGTGACGGCAAACTGATATTAGGTGTAATGCTATGGATTACCTTTAAAACGTGATTTGCGCAATAACCATTCACTGACCAGAGCGTCACCTACTTTGGAATCAGCTCCCACCCCATTCTAAGAGAAATGTACGTCAGGGACTCAGAGGGGCTTGTGATAATCTACAGTGCCCCAAAGAGCGTAGCGAATCCTGAGTTTGTCGGGTCAACAAAGATTCAAGAAATAGGATTGTACTACGGGATGCTAAAAATTACAGATCAGGCTAAGGCAGTTATTACCAGTTACTGCATCAATCATCAAAAAATTAGGTAGAAATCCTCTAAAATTGCCCTAGGAGCAGTGAAGAAACCAGACTGAGGTGATTTTTGATGCACGACTTTTACCGCTTATCAGGCGTTCTGGGGTTCCGGTATTCCCGCTCAGGACCCACCAGACTCTAGAAGGCTTCTTTGACCCCAGTGCTTGCCTTAGCGCGAGATCTCGACGTTTTCGTTTCAAGATGAAGGCGACTTTTGCGGTCCCACATGTCAAATCACATTTTTGGCCAAGTTCAGAAAGGGGGTAGCATAGGCGCCTGCAGCGGTGTGTAAAACACACAACTATTGGCATACCTGTGGGTGTTTTCTAGGCCACCCCACGTGAACCATTTTAGTCACTTACCTCTGCAGAGGATAAACTTCTAGTAAACCCAGAATCACTTTCTGAAGGTGGGACACCAGGAATATTGCGCGACTAATAGATCTGCACCAAATTTCGGAGCTCACCACATCGTCCGCGTCCGCTACCCTTGAGAACCTTTAGCCTAGGGCTTCCGAATAATGATCCTAGTTCGAAGATTCCAGTAATTTACGGATTGCCAAATTGTCGTAATCCTAGCTTTTCGATTAATCACAAACAACTCAACGAGAAGTCTCCCACAGCTAGCTGATCCATTCGTTTCTGTCCAGTGACGGTGGTAACGACGGCCTCTGCTGGGAAGCAGTTCATTTTCTTCAACTGAGCAGCGGCCTTTGCAGCAGCTCGCATCAGCGGCGACGTCCGCCTCCAGCTATAAATAATTTTTTAGAGTATGGTTCGAGCGACCAACTCAGCGCTATAAATGCCAAATGGGTGGAAAATGCGCTCACGTTGTCTGTCAGGTGCTGGCCCAGGATCTGCTCCTGCACCAGAGCCACCACCACCGCCAGCAGCAGCAGCGCCGGAATCTCCAGTTGCGCGAAATTGGCGGCTGCTGCGGCACGAGCTCCCGCGGCTCTTGCAGTGGTGGATGCGGCTCGTGACATGGGCTTCTTTGTGGTTGCTTTAGTTGTCGGTTTCGTTTTAGGTTTTGCGACATGTGAAGCTGGACCTGGCGCAGATTTCTTAGCACCACCGGCAGCTCCACCAGCGGATGCGGCCTTCGTCGTAGACCCTCCAGCGCTTTCCGTGCCTGCGCGAGCAGAACTCGGCCCAGCGCCGGCAGCCTTGGCACCTGACTTCTTTGCCAGCGGGCCAGTTGTAAGCAGGGCATCAGTTCCTTTACCGGCTTTCCCTGCCTTAGCTCCTGCTCCTCCTGTAATTGTACGAGCAGTTGTTGGTGCCTGCTCCTCCACCCGCAGGAGACGCGACGAATTGGTCGGTTGTGAAGAGGTCAGGTGTGCTCAATCCGTCGTCGTCGGTCCATTTCACCCCTTCCGATGTTCTGTCACTCGTCCCTTTGCCTCCATCGGAGAGTGGTTTTCAGTCCAGTGCCATCTCCTGGTGTCGAAGCTCCAGTGGAACTAAATAGACAAGTTGTTCAGTGGAAATGGATTTGAAAAAAGTGTAATTCAATTGAATTCCTGTGGAGAAGGCACTAACTCGGTGGTTCCTTTGGTTGACCCGTCACCTCCAGCTGCTCCAGACGGGTCTTCTGTGACTTCTTGTCGACTTTGAATTTTCCCACGGCTGAAAACATGCCAAATGAGCAGAGGCGGGCGTAACGAAAGGAATTGCAAATAGTCAGGTAGCTTTGCGAACGAAAATTCAAAAAGCCTACCCGCTCTGCCCGTCTTTCCCATCAGCTCCCAAGCCTTCACCATCCGGGAGACCACTTTTGCCATCAGCGCCGTCTCCTCCTCGAGCCTACAAACATATTATTGGAATGGTACCTTGAGAATGATAATCAAAAACGCACCTCCTTTGGCACCAGCATCGGGGACCACTTGAAGCGTCTGTACCGTTTCCACCGCTTCCACCGCTTCCACCGCTTCCATCGCTTCCACCGCTTCCACCGCTTCCACCATCCCCATCACCCTGTTATCGGGTTTCGTTTTCATCTTTTCAGCGTCTTTTCCAGATGCTCCATCCTTTCCATCGGATCACTGCTCCTTTACCTTGCACCGGTGCCAGCTTTGCCCCTGTCCATCTTCTCCAGCTTTACCAGAAGCTCCATGCTTGCCACCCGGCTTGTCCTGCTTTGCCGCCGGCTCCTCCCGCTCCAGCTCCACCATCTCCATCTCCTCCATCACCAGTGCCTTTATCTCGGCCTTTGTCAGCACCGTTTCCTCCGGATCCACCTGATCCTCCTTCTGCTCCGTCTTTGCCTGCGCCTTTTCCTCCGGCTCCTCCATCACCTCCGTCTCCTGCGCCTTTGCTCGGTTCTCCACCATCTCCTGCCTTCTTACTTGGCTTTCCATCGCCTCCAGAGGCACCACCGTCTCCATCTTTTTTACCAGCGCTTTCTTTGCCTCCCTTTTCCAGAGTCACTACTATCGCCTCCGCTGGAGCCATCTCCGCCTGAAAATGATAATTTATGATTTTTCAGATTTAGTTGTTATTTGAATTTATTTCCACACCCGACTAAAAGTACCTTGCCGTTTCTTTGCTTCATCTTCTTGACCGGAGTCGCCTTCTCCTGCTCCTCCGCGCCCATCCTTTCCACCTCTTGTGCCGGAACCTCCGTCTCCAGCGCCGTTCATCTCCTTTTCCTTCAGTCCCAGCACCGTCATTCCCGTCGCCTCCATCTCCTCCATCTCCACCTTTGCCATTTCCTTTTCCACCTGATCCAGCAGCATCTTTTCCTCCTTTCCCTTTGCCTGTCACTTTTCCTTTCAAACGGTCCTTTCCTAGCTTGCCAGCTCCTCCATCACCACGTCCATTGTCCTGAAAAAAGAATTGTCGACTATATTGAAGGGAGCCATTGAGAAGTAACGTACCTCGCCTTCACCTCCAGAATCGCCATCACCTTCATCGCCTTTTCCGTCCCGTGCTCCATGCTTTCCTTCTTTGCCGTGTTTTCCTCGCTTTCCTCCCCGTCCTCACGCTCTCCGCTGTCTCCGCTCCCATCATCTCCATCTGCATCATCTGGTTTTCCCATGCCGATTTTGTGTCCTGGTGCCCTTTTTGCTGTCAACGTCGCCAGAATCCTCACCCGTCTGTAAACTCCAGGTATCAAAATTATTACCTAACTTTTCATTGATTAAATTTATGCATGGAATTGATTCAATTGCGGTTTTACCTCCTTTTCGGTGCCTCCCGCGTCCACCTCTACCGCTGCTATCGCCGTCTTCACCTCTCTTCCTGATCCAGTGCTGGAGCCTTCGGCGTTCGGTAGCCCTCCCTGCTGAAAAGTCATGATAGTTAATGTCATATATTTCTTGCAACATTGTTTTCTTACAAATACTTCAGTGAAATGGTTTCAGGATTAGGCAAAATCAGACAAGGAAAAAGTTATTGCATTGTACTTCTGAACCGAAGTCGTACGCGATTTCTCGTCCCAACTTAAACAATGTTGTCCCCTTTTTTACCGTCAGCTCTTACTCTGCTTCCAAGCCTGGTTCAATGGCCTCAAAAAATTTATATTTGGTGCTTTTGAGGACCTTGATGTTGATGCCAAGTGATGCCCTAACAGTGGGACTGCAATTACTACAGGAGAAATAGAGTGGGCATCGAGCCTATCCATTAAAGTGTGTCGATAGGGCCTTCGAGGTGGAATTGCATGACCTCCCAAGGAGTTTGATTTCAGGGTTCTCAGAGACTCTTTGCGGCCCAGTTCTGTTGCAATTACCGTCAGGCAGGTTCAACAAAAACTATTTCTAGAAAGTTGGTTTGCCGATGAATATGACGTTCTGACCTCAATTGGTATCGGGTCGGTTAAGGGCATTACCAGCAATCAGGAAACAGAGCGATCTCACCGACCTAGAAAACCAGAGGACAAATTGGACCACCAGCTAAAAAGCACCAGCTAAGCCTAAAAATGTGAATAAACACTAGAAAATACTTTTAAAAATAAGGGTATTTTCTGGGTGGTGGAATACAGCGGTAGAAGACTGTGCGGCGAGAAGAGAGAGCAGACGGGAAGATAGACCAAAGGGGAGCAGCGAAAGGCAGCCAAGCTGTTGGGTGGTCTCATGCATAGCGAGGGACAGAGCCGGTGGCCATCGGGGGTGATCGGCATGGTATCAAAACTCTAGCGCTATGTGGCAAAGCTTCAATGTGCCAGGACATCACTTTTTCTCAATTTGTGGTCAGCTCTATCGTATTGCTGGGCGAGAGCGCTTCCCAGAGAGATATGCACTAAAATGTAGGACAATTCAGCGCCAGTACCAGAACGATTCTTACCTTAGAGTTGAAGGCATCACCGCCGCCACCACCAAACTGTCCGGTGTGTACTGTGATGTTGATATGGCCGGGTTCGGAAGCTCCCCTTCCACTATCTATGACATTGTTGTTGTTTCCGCTGGCGTTTACGTGCACATGGATGTGTTGCGGACCTCCCTCGGTTGCTGGAAATTAAATATTTCGTTTCAAGGAAGCTCAAAGAAATCCATGCTGAAGACAGACCTGGACCAGAGGTTGAGCCCGTCGTGGTGAACTTCTTCGACTCGTTGACGCCTCTGACCATTGCCGACATTTCCCCACACGCTGCGTGCCCATGTGGACCACCTTGAGGGGTAACTATATGAAGAGGCTTAATAAAATACTTGAAAAACCACTCACGTGGAACTCGTCCAACTGCTCCAGCTGATTGCCTTCCATTCACTTGGCTGCTCCTGAGAACCCTTGAATTCAGTATTGGGCTTTTAACGTGGATTTTTTCAAATGTAAATTATTCCGCCTTTCTTTGATTTTTAAATATTATCTATTTTTATTACCTCCTTCTCAACGGCTTCGTAAGAGGTACACCGAGGCCGACAAATCGTAACGCGATAGCCATCTCTGCAATAGGCGGAAATTCATAGCGACAAGGATTGTCGTCTTTGTTTGGCTCCCAATTTGACATATCGATTTTGGGATCACTTGCCCTTTACTGTCGAAGGGATTTTCGATTCTGAGACGATTGGTACGCCGGTGATGTGCAAGTCGTTGTTAAACCAGCACATTTAGGGCAAAAAACATGTACACTAATTCGATCACCCTTAGTGTAGCAGGACTAGAGCAGATGGAATGTGCTTAGGTTATCGGATTGATGATCAGACAAAGTAGGTGACGTTCAGGAAAACTTTCTGCTTTTTGAATCCAGAAAACAGTAAAACTTGACTTCTAGCTAATCCCTAGGGCGGCTTGCTGACCCCATCTCAGGCCCTGCTACAAGCCGTGGAGAGACCTTTCCATGTGAGAGAAGTCGCGTCTTCTTCATCGCATAGAAGGCGATAAGCTTTAGGCCGATGTCAGACTTTGCGAATCGCGCGATTCGCTAGCGTCCGCGGTCGCGTTGCGGTACCAGCCAATTGAGTGATTCACTGGCCGCGACGCGACCGCAGACGCTAGCGAATCGCGCGATTCGCAAAGTCTGACATCGGCCTATACAGGAATACTGTACATTCGGAGGGATGATGCTGGATTCAAGACCTTATAGATTCATAGTAGGACATCTGGATGGAGGAAGAGTTCGAACGTGAGACTGTTCTAAGAGACGACGTCGTTATCCGGGGTGGGGGAAATTGGAAGTTGTGCCAAACGTGAAGGCTAAACGTAATGAAGGCATTAAAGCGTTCTTCCCCAAAAAGGTATAAATAGAAATTTTAGGTGTTAGAGATATTCAAGAGATTCTATCTTTTTCAGTAGGTTCCTTCAAAGAGGGGTGGTGAACCCAGCTGTGAAGGTAGTTTTTATCGGGGAAGATCACCTATGCTGTGTTTACCGCAGTGTAACCGCTCCCGCAGGTGGGAACGCTAAGATCCACTTTATTCATTCGGTAAAGGGTTTTCGAGTTGGAACTAGCCCTCCTAACCTCTCCGCTACACCTCCCTCTCCCCCCCCTCACCCCCCGCCCGGCCCTACCTTACCATTAGTTCTATTCCGCCATCTCTTCTCGCGCTGAAGCGGTATCAGCTAGCTGAATCAGATCCGATTTGCATCCATTCATTCGAAATCTTGCTAACAATATAAATCGCCATTGTGCGATACGGAGCGGATCAGATGGTCAGGACTTCAAGCAAATTCTTATTTTATTTCATTTTATAAAATCCAGTGAAGGGTAGTAAATGCCGATAGAAAATAGCCTGACTGAACTGAATACATCCTTGGCGGTAAAGATAAATGCATTTAAGGGGAGGCCTCTGCAGCCGGTTAAGCCTGATCGTCCAAAGGACGCGATTGTTTTGACAGAATCACTTACAATCTCCGTTCGATACCCTTCACCAGCAATGTCGGAGGAGCTTTGTTTTTGAGCAAGTAGAGACGAAGACGGTAACCGGACATTCCGTCGATGTGTTCGGGAATTTCGGAAGCGCTCTGCAACACTTTGTTGGATTTCGTTCTTTCCCATGAGGAATTACTGGTCCCTTACCTTCAGCACGGTGTACGGGGTGTCATCGTGGCTGTCAGGTTGTTTTGGATGTGAAGAGCCATCAGGTAGTTCGTAGATAAAGCAGTCGTTGCCAACATGCGTCGGAATCGTGTGCGGTGCACGAGGGTTGAACAGATTGCAGCATGTGTGCTCGACCCTGCAAACGCATCAAATATCTTGAATCACTTGCAGAACGTCTAATTTGCCAAAATATTAAGGGGAAAAATATTAAATATGAAAAACCATTTGAGAAGCTAAACATACCACAAAACACGCTTCTGACGTCGCCGCAATAGTTATCTATAAGTTTTCATTCGCTGTACTGCTATTAGCTGGCGATGAAGTTGCTAAGCATATTTTTTTTACCATATGCAGACAAATTTTGATGTTCTTTTTCTGGCGTTTGTTAAATGGAATTTTTCAAAACAGTATTCTTTTTCTTCGTAAAGTTTAATTTTACGTTAGGATTCCACAAATCTCACGATATTTGTCCCTCTGCGAAGCGAAGTCTTCTCAAAGACGGGATTTCGGCTCTGTTCCCTTCAATTGTCTTTCTTAATAGATCCTTGACCTCTACATAATTGCCCGTATCTGCGCCCATCTATGATACAGACTTAGCACTGTCGAAAGCGTGGGCTTTTTCACATCTCTCTACTTCGGCCTGTTTGCTGGTGGTGCTAAAGTAATCTTAATAGCCGCGCTTTTCTCCAGTTTCTAGTCCTAAAGAGTGAGCAGCGGCTTTCCGCGCTATTTAGGATGATGTGGAAAAAACACTCTGTAGACTACGGTACTCAAGGATTAATGTCATGTTGTGCAAATGCGAAATTTTGAGGTCGATGCAGGAATCCCGAAAGGACCCTAATCACGCTACAACTCGGCCGCCCGACTGCCTTACTTGTCGCGCACGGGCATCCTGGGCAAGGTACCCCATCGAACCGGTGGTTACAGTCGAGCTTGGGGTTTTCGGCCTCCTCAAACGGACAAAACCTTACACATTCCAAACAGTCGGCTTATTCCCCCATTCATCATGGGCCCTTATCATGTCCCCTCTGGATAACCCTTAAATGCCGAGCCATTCACAACTGATGAAAAACGTCCTCTAGTTGGAAATTTTAACAGACCGTTGGCTGCTAGAACCCTTCTTAACTACGACCGACGTGACAATTGGGTATATTTAAATCACAGCGAAATTGAGGTAATTATGTATGAGGCTCATAACGGATGTCTATAAGGTGGAGGAACATAGCCGGCACAGGACGTTCGAGTTATTCTGATCATAAAAAGAATCTCTTGCGTTCAGCTGAAGTTTCGATTCCACAAGCGGGAGCCTGGTGCAGCTTTTACTGAGTATTACTTGTTTTATACCTATTTATTTGGTTCATTGGAGGGGGGTGGGCCATCCACCCCGGGTCGTTTAGTCTATAGATAAATAACAGTTAGGAATTCCATAGCGGCTCATAGATTAACAAATATTAATAAAGACACTCATAGATTGAAGAAGGGGTTATTCACTCAGAAGGGAGGAGCTTCGATAATTGATGAAGCGTTCCTCCTTTGAGAGGATTGATGTGGGAAGTTATAAGTTTCAAGAATCCTATTTCATATGTAAACCATAGAAAAAAGCTAAATTTCCATTGGTCACGCGTCCCCTAAAGTCTAAAAAGCAGCTGTTTACTCGCTACCGGTGGGCTCAAAGGCGAAAACAGTTTTTTCTTCGTGACTCGGTTTTTCCCTTGATACATTCGCAGTCATCTGGAGCTCCACTTCTAGACCAGGCCGCTCAGCCCTGTTCGAAAGACTTCACGGGAAGTGATGCTCTAATAGCGAATGGATTGAGCGCTACGAAGTTTCTTTACGATTTTCACCCCGTAAATGCGGTCTGTTAAACGTATGCATAAAGATATCCGTATCGAATTCGTATCCACTCGCTCAACCCTTCCGATTGACGGATGATGTCGCACATCTTATGGCGAAGCTGTATCATAATGAGATCCATCAAAGCGAAACAGTTCAGGTTTAGCTTTTCAAGCTTCGGTTTCGCCTCATAAGCAGGATGAATAGAAAAACCTTTCAGCCGTTATCACTCAAGAAAACTCGCAGCGGTCATACCTGCGTATCGTTTAAGGAGCGTCGGTTGGATAAGGTTCGATCACCCTTAAATATGCTGCTTCACCTGCAAAATATCGGACGTTGTAAGGGCAGATTATTCAGAGCGCGCGGTTGAAAGTATCGCAATTTACGGAGGTCTCACTCCGGTCATTCAGTACCCGCCCTACCAGTGAAACATTTGAACAAATTTTTATAGAGATTGATCTACAAGACCGCGGTAGGGTTACCTAGCTGACTGCATCCCCGTATGGGTAACCATTACAAAGACTGCACTTGCTTAGGAAAGCGGCCTGAAATTGGCCAAGCTAAAGGAAGAGAGTCGTCTTGCAGACGTTTTTAGTTACCGGTTTACAGTTCTATGCATCCAACCCATTCCTCTTCTCCAGCATTCGATGGCACATTTCGAGGAGATCTTGGGGCGGAGTTGGACTGTGTCACGTGGTCTCAAAATCGAATGCCGTGCAAACGGTCGTGGTAGTTAGGCTGGGGTGGAGTTGGGGGGGGGAGGGTCCTCTCGAGATCACCTCAGGAGATCGTAACTTTCTGGAAACTTCCTAATGCGACCGTGATACTGATTGCAGACCGAGACAACCTTTACAGATCCAGCTTAAGCGGTTCCATCGCATAGCAGCTCTGGCAATATTATTGATTCTTTTTTTGATGAATCAAAAGATCTTCTAGTTCCTAGAACTTGAGAACGTCCCGCCTTTGTCTAGAAGGACCACTGGTAGCATCAGAAGTGTTCTAATTGAAGGTTAAGCTCATCTACATTCTCATTGCTGTAAATAGACGTAGCGCAGGCTGAATGGGGCCTTCGAAGCACCGGCGTCACGCTTTAAGAAGTCGAAAGAAGAAGGAGGCCAGCTGAGAGATGTTTCTTTGGCTATTAAACACGATTGATGACGCCTATCAACGGAACAATGGGAGAGTAAAGAATCGAAAAGCAAAAACTAAAAGTCATAATGGCGAGCAACTAACGGTGACGTTGCAGAGGTTTGGACGACATGCGCGACGAAGTTCATCAGACCTCCACACTGTGGCTGCGATTCGTCGTAGTCGCAACGCTGAAACATTCCGTTGCGATTTGCTGTCACTTAGGGAGACCGTAGACCTTGCCTCTTTGTGAGGGTGGCGACTTTGACTTTGGAAGCTCTGATGCATGGAAGTGCAAAGAAACGTACCAACTGTTGGTATCCACACATGTCGAGTTGTTGGCAGTGCATTCTGATGGTGTCGTTACCGAAACTCTGCACAACCAGTACCTGATCGTTCTGACATCGATAGTTCAGTGCTACCGCCGCCGGCAACACAACCAGCAGCCACCACATCGTGCTGAAAATTGGAACGTTTACATAGGTGATGAAACGGGCAGGAGACATTGGAAGCCACGAAATTTTCAAGCATTGTTGAGAATTGGCGACTCAGGTTACCAGGCGAAAAGAAAATGATACATATCGATTTGGCGAGTTGGCGAATAGGCGAGAAAGAATGCACACGCGTCACTCAGGTTCATTCAGACCTCTGAGCGATCGCCTATCGCCTGATCGATACGCATGATTTTCTTCACGCCTAATCGCCAATTCGCTTTTGAACAATCCATAATGACGTCATACGCGGACTGTACACGAATGAAGGAATCAGCAAATGCAACAGTGATCAC